GCCTTCTACCGCTTTTGCCCTCGACAGACCGATAGCTGGCTATCTACTGTACTCTAGCCAGCTAGAGCCAGTACCGTACTCATTGGGAGCTGTGAAGTGGCTGATCTTTTAGTCCACCATGTCCATCGCCCATATGCAACTGGACCGTCCGACGGTTTTCACTCAGGCTTTAAAAACGGGCACGACTGACTCATAATCCTGGTTCTCATAAGGGGTTGTTTAAGGGGATGTTGAAGCTTTTTAAGGGTTGTTTAAGGGGATGTTCAATATTTAAGGGGTTGTTGTTAAGGGGTTGTTTATTTAAGGGGATGTTCATTCGTGATAAGGGGTTGTTGTATGGCGTTTCAATGAAGGCTTAAGGGGTTGTTTCGAGGATATAAGGGGATGTTGTTAAGGGTTGTTTATTTATGTGGTTGTTTAAGGGGATGTTGAAGCTTTAAGGGGTTGTTTAAGGGGTTGTTTAAAAGATGTTTTCAGTGGTGGAAATTTGAAGATTTTTAAATCCTGAGTGAAAAGCGTCGGACGGTCCAGTGTTCTAGGCAGAAAGCCTCCATTGGTTGGAATGCCAAAACAGTGCCACGCCATGGCGAACGATTCCTTTCTTCAAGCTCGTCTTCAACAGAAGAAGAGCCCAATGCTGCTTATCCCTCCTCAAGTTGCAATGCATTATCCACAAAAACCATAGCTTCCTTTTGCTTTGGACCCAGTGAATCCTATGCTATCCAAAACTTATCCTTGGCCAATACTACGTGGCCAGTCTTCGTGGGCAACCAGTCATGGGATGGAAGGTAATCGTTGGAAAGCAGTCAATGGGTCTGTTCTTTTACCGGTTGCTGCCAGGTTTTCGAATCCACTTGCTCGACTGTCGGCTTCTGGCTCTATTTTGTTGCTACCAATTCCACCTGAAGACCCTTTCCTTTTCTCTCGGGGCGAGCCAGTCATTACTAGTACTCAGTGTAGTCATCCTTGCAACTATTGATTACCGCCACAAACCGCACCGGTACCTCGGTCCATAGCGGTACCAGTATTGGAGGTTGTTTAACATGGGCAGCAGGTTGAGGTGCTATCGCTACCGGTACCCGTACCCGTACCGCTGGTTACTTTTAGTATCGGTAATCGGTACATGTAGTTGGTGGCTTGGTTGGTAATTACTTCCGTAATTCCGGATTACTGGCTACTTACGGTACGATTCCGGAATTCTATAGAACAACCGTAAAGATAACCGTAAAACGTCACCGGAATTAGGGCATGCACGATTCCGGCAGGAATTCCTAGGATTCCGGTGGATTACTCCGGAACTCCGGTGAGTCCGTGAGTACTGTACATGTACAGCACATCAAATCTGGCAGCCTGCTTATTTGCTTGCGTTTTACCAGCAGCGGGGTAGTAGCTCTTGGAGCTTCGTACCGTACCAGTATCATTCAAACTAGACTATCTGCATGATCTGCGCTGAGATAACACTAGCTAGTCTACAGTAGTGTGACTGCTTATGTGCTTGCATTTTACCAGCAGCAGCGTAGCACCTCTTGGAGCTAGCATCATTCAAACTACTAGATCTGCTGTACAATCCCATGACAGCAGCAGCAACTCTTGCAGCCTGCTTATTTGCTTGCTTTTAACCAGCAGCAGGGTATCACCTCTTGGAACTACCGGTACCCGTACCATATCCTTCAAACTATTATAGATCTGCCGTGCCGGTACCATAGAGGTGCAAAGTCTGCGGTACCGAGAGATACCGGTACCGATAGAGATGCAAGATCGATAGAGGTGCAAGATCTGCGGTGAGATGACACTAGCATGACAGCATCAACTCTCGCAGCCTGCTTATGCGCTTGCATTTTAATAGCAGCAGGGCAGCGCCTCTTGGAGCTATCATTCAAACTAGACTTGCCGTATCGATACCGACCGAAACGCAGAGGTGGTCGTGCGGTGAGATATCAATAGATTGACAGCATCAACTCTTGCAGCCTGCTTATTTGCTTTGTGTTTACTAGCAGCAGGGTGGCATCTCTTGGAGCTGCTGGTATGGTATCATTCAAACTACTACTAGTAGTAGATCTGCCGTGCCGGTAGAGGTCGTGTAGATATCGGTGGAGGATCTTCAGCACACATTCATATGGTACCGACCTAGGAGTGGTATGCTACCATTACAGGTACCGGTTACGGACACTAGCACAACAGGCCCGGCAAGGTAAAAGAACTCGAAATTCCGGGGAAAGCTTCATTGCCTCGTTTGCTGAAGCTGGATTGCAACTCATGTTGCCCTAATATTTGTTTGTGGTGGCCTCCATGGCCCTTGTTCAGGCTAGTTCCTGAAATTACTGCAGTAATTCCTGTCTAACCAGTAATTACTTTACTTTTACTGCCATTGGCACTAGGCTAGATTACTGACCTATATTACTGTTACTGAGTAATTACTGCATTACTGCAATTACTGCTACTTTTTGACCCCTCGACACAGTAAGTAATAACAGTAAATACCAACCAAGTTTGGTGGATTGAAGATTGAAGATTGAATGCCTTCATTCAAGTTGGAACATTGCTGCAATAAACATTGGGGGGCAGTCTGATAAGTACCTTCCAAAAGACCTGGGAATGGTACATTTACCAACATTTAGTATTGCTGCTGTGGCGCTGTAACACTCGCAGCGTGTTCGTGCATCTTGAGTCGATGAAGGACTCAATGTGTGACCCTACCACAATACTTACTATCAATCCGGGAGTGGAACATATTTATTAATTTTTCAATGGTACTAGTGCATGTACGATGGTACTAGTACCTCTTTGTTATGGACGGTGCTTTTCGAGATACCCCAAACCATGGACGTAACTAATCGTAAAACTTCGCTGATCTCAACACACGTGGCTCGTCAGCATTGAGAGGAAATTGCCGCCCCCTTTTTCTAGATCAGGATTGGGAGACGAGAAACCCCAACTCCGTAGTCTGCCTTCTGGAGGGAAAGTTCACGGGTCAGGTTAGTTCAAAGATCCACAGTGGGATCTTCACTCTGAATCAGGGCCTGGACTCGACTCGACTTTTTGACGGAGACAGCCCAACCCTACGGAGAAACAGCATTTTGATTCTGCTGTATCGTACTACCACGGCAACTGGCAAGGTAACATCTACCGTAGCTAGCTAGAAAAGTCAAGGCTTTTGAGATTCAAGCAAATAATGTCAAGTGGGCTACAACAGTGTGCAGAATCTTCACTATTGCGGGATCATCTCAGAATCGAATCCTAACAAAAGATTCCCCGAACAGTTTGAACCTTTGACAAGACAACCCAAGCCTCGAGAGATGCAATACTTTGATACTGCAGCATCGGGCCGCATGGCAATGTAAGCAACCTCTAGACCCAGCAAGCAAGGTGGAGGGAACAAGCCAGCAAACGTCGATGCCCTGGGGACCCAAGCACAGGTCAAGTGGTCTACAGTGTGAAGAAACCTCCCAGCTTTGTGCATTGAGATGTGCAGTTCCTGTGGGATCGAGCAGGGATTCAGATGCCTAGCTAGCACTGATGAATCTTGCTCGACAAGGGGAAACAGTTGAGCAACAAGTCGAATCTACAGTAACAGATCCACCAAAGTGCCATACTGTAGACTTCCAGGTTGCAGGCTTATGAGACTACCAGGATGAGGTATATACCCCCCTAATCAATCCGTCTTTGCAAAAGGGGGAATGCTGAAAATGCATACACTCCAAACTCGAATATAAGAAACTCCACTATAAGAAAGCGAGCCCTGAGATTCTAGAGAATGTTAAGAACATCTTGATGCTGAAATATCACAGACTTGTAAGAAAGCTTCCCAGTATTAAGACATCAAAGCATAAGAAATACTACTAGTCCGACACCATGAAAATGCTTCAAACTTGTGCTTACATCTGCAAAATTTTCTGCCTCACGGCAGACACAGTGATCACCATCTGTATTTGATCCAACCCAATTTATGATTCCTGAGCAAGTTGAACCAAAAGGGCCAGGTTCATTGCGTGTATCCAAGCACTGCCCTGCTTGACCTAGAAGCATAGTAAGAAAGTCTTCTATGCTGAAATTGGCTTGTTTTGTTAGAAACAATCTGAGGGGCAAAAATGGTGCTGTACGGTAAGAAAGGCCCAGGGCTGCACCGAATTTAGAGATTTCTTATATGTGAGTTTGGAGTGTAATGCTCTTGCGTTGTTGCTGGAACACCGGAACGGCTGGACAAATCGGTAGCATTTCGGTTGATATTTATTTCGAGCTTTCGAGCTTGCTTCGTAGCCTTTCGATGAACCAATCGGAAATCCAAAGATCTCAGCTGCTCAGCTGCTTCCCATTGACAAAATGACCGTTCCCATTAATCAGTGTAAGTAGTCAGCTAAGTATTAATAGTCTAAGTTGCATGGCCTGGCAATTGCTACTGGTATTGTACCTACCGGTACTGCTTCAGCTACTGCTTCCCACTTCCCTCTTGCAAAGAGAATCTTGAGTCATTACGAAATAAGAACTTCTTACTTAACAAGTCTTTCTTGCTGGGGATGGTCCAAGATACCCCTATTTCAGTAGATGATTCACAGGAGGATTGAAGGTTTGACTAACTAATGACCATGACATTTGATCTTCATCATGACATTCTTTGATAATGACCTTGGTACTGATTGATAGATATTCAAAACTCAAGTGGTTACCTTGTCAGGGACATTGTCCCTGTAACATGTCCAGTGCACCTACCGTATGCGTTACCAGCAGCTACCGGTAGGTATTTAGCAACGTAGTCACCGACCACAGCAATAAAACGAACACTCACTGGTTTTACGGCTCCCCCCTTCCCCCTGTGCTCGTTTCGCAACCACCACCATCCAGCAGCCGCAGCACAGACGCTGTCCACCCCCATCAGCACAGCAATTAGCACTTACCTTGGCTCACACACAATTCTAAAATTCTCAGTCATTCCAAAACTCTTGCTTGGACCCGCAGCACATTGGAGAAGGAAGGAGAAAGAAGCAAGACCCTATTCCCCAAATTAGACTCAAAAAGCTCTCGGCAATACCTCACTCCACATCCACTTCACTCCATTTCTTTCTTTGGTCACAATCTCGATCAATCCCAACAAGCAAGCAAGCAACAGAATACATTCTCATTAGCTCAATCATTCGTTAGCCACCATGGACCACTCGTACAGTCAAAGCAACAGCAACAAGAAGCGGGAAGTCACATCGACCCTGCAAGCGCTCTGTCGACAAGAAGAATCAGCCTACAAGATTAGTGGCAACTACTTGACGTCGACAGAGGATGCCAAAGTCTCCCGTCGTCGTGGCAAATGCCGTGCCGCCATGGTGACTTGGTTCATTACCGTCGTCGATTATCTCGAGTTTGAACGGGAAACGGTCGCCATTGCACTCAACTTTTTGGATCGATTCTTGGAAACCCCGCAAGGCAAAGTCTGTTTGACAACGACGCCGCGGCAATTCAAAATGGCCGGCATGACGTGTCTCTACACCGCTATTAAAGCGCACGAACCCGAAGCCATTGAACCGGATCTCGTCGTCGAACTCAGTGGCAATTTGTGTTCGGTAGAAGATATTGAAGCCATGGAACGGACCATTCTGGCGGCGCTCGATTGGCGGGTCAATCCTCCTACCGCACTCGCATTTTGTCGTCAATTGTTGGGCATTGTCCCCAAAGGCGTTGTTAGTCGCAAAGATTGTGCGGCGTTGCTCGAGTTAGCACAAGTGCAGACCGAATTGGCCGTCTCGGATCCGCGGCTTATCACTACCCCGCCGTCGTTGCTCGCGTTGGCGAGTATCTTTAACGCCCTCGAATCGAGCAGCAAACATTCCAATACGGAAACCCTCGATGATCTCAGTCAATTGTTCTTTGTGGCGTTGGCGGGACGCACGTTGGATATGGACGATGTCTTTGATGTACAAGATGTGCTCGATGACATCATTCGACAGCACAACCAGCCCAAGAATTCGAGTAACTCGAAACGCGCCTCACACGAAGAACAAGACAAGGCCGTGACAGAAGAAGATGCCACTTCGGAACACGACGAAGACGAAGAAGAGGTCGTCACGGTGGCATCGCCCACTACACCCGCCAAGGAAATGGCACTCGCCATGGCAGCCGCCGCGGCGGCGGACACCGCAGCAGCCACCAAGAAATCGAACGTCAAGACACGGCCCTTGCCAAAGGTCGTGTCGCCCTGTAGACCCACGCCATGTTGCGGCAGACCGGGAACGGCAGAAGCAGCATGAACGAAACAAAAACGAGCAAGGGATCTACTCTAGTAGTACATACGGGAATTGTAAAAAGCTTAAAACGACTATTCATTCATACTAACTAGCTACTCTAGACTGTACAAAGAACTGAATAATATTATGCAAGCCTCCAGCTAATAGCACTAGCTAGATATGCTACCCCCGCTTTGCCATACGATAGGAGCTAGCTAGCAAGTTGCTTAGTAACGATGGTCGACCCCCCTTGATGTTGTAGGTAGGTCTGCAGATAGACTACTTACTTGTAGTCCTGTCAGAGTTGCCCGCCACCCACATTCTCTACGGCTTCTTCTCACGACTTGCGATTGCTTGCGATTCGGGAGTTGCCTTCGATGATGGTCAGTTTCTTGCTTGGAGACCGGTCCTCGGTGGTACCACTGGATCATCTCCACATGTATGTATCTCCAGTCGTCTCAGTATGCAATCAACTACAAGCAAACCACTGACTTTTTTCTACTAGCTAGTGCCTCGTTTTGACCAGCAGCCAGCCAAGCAAGATAAACAGATGATTAATTCTGCCAGTAGCTAACTACCTTCTTCCAAAAATCCATGCCGGGTGCTGCGGTGGCTTAGCTAGTACTTTCCTTTTCGGTTCAAGAAGAAGCCTCCAGGCCAGGGAGAAGTTCAACAGCATCTACACGTAGCTAGTGGTACGGTCAGCCCAGCTTCCGCCGTAGAAGATTATAATGTACGGTGTGGTTCCCAGCGGGCCTGCAAAAGAGTATGACATGTAGTACGGTGTAATTCTTGCTTGAGGAATGATCCAATGGCGGGGCGAGCGCAAGCTAGCTATCTCTACGAGCATGCAGACTAATTCCCTTGCGCTTGATAATAGCTTTTGCTTGTTGCATCCCCATCTCGTGTGTAGCTTTGCTCGTTGGTCTTGGACAACACTGGTCTTGGACAACACAGGGAGGGCAGGGGTGAAAGACTGGCACACCGGAATTGAAGGTCAACGCAACGAGCAAGGAAGGAAGGGCCATTGCGCCATGGCATGGCATGGAAATGAAAACCAACCACCATTCGATTCATCATCCGAAACGATTCGATTCTATTCTATTCTATTCGACTCAAGATGAGTCGTTTCACGGAGTCGTGTTAACTTGTAACCAAGGCATTACCTTTCGATATAGATCTTAATCAAAAGGTTTTGTAGTTGAAACCCGGCAGAGCCGCTTTTGCACACGCCTGGTGTGGAGCAGTGTTCGTTCTGCCCGTCCGGGCCGTGAGGTCTATGCATACCGGAGGATCGCTTCCAAAAGAAACGGCTTGCACTTTGACCTTGCTTGAAGGTTCAAAAGGTTGGAGGTGGGAGGCAACCCATCAACCCATCGGTGTTCATCTCTTGCCATCGTCTCCTTATCAAATCCAACAAGCTAGTTAGGAGCGATGCCAATCGACCACTTCGAGACAGGCACGGACATCCACGACAAACGACACCGCAAATTCATGATGGAGGGTCCGTTTTCGACGAAAGGATCCCGACGGCCGAAACGAAGCTGAAACCGCCCACCCATTGAAACCACCCTTGCTGGTTCCGTTTTTCTCTTCGACTCTTCGAGGACCCACTTTCACTTCTGATGAGGCTCATAAATTGGAGTGCCTAACAACTGTGAAGGCATCAACTACAACGAAAACTACACAATGACAACATGATTGACTTTTGATGATGACAATGACACTAGAGGGAAGCTGCTTTGCAAATCAACATGCCATGGGCACCCAGAGCCTCCCTGGTTCTGATAGGTGTACCACATGACTCTTTGCTTTGACACCGCTGTAGGTGTGGAGCAAGATGGTCCACAAAAGGACTGGTTTGTAGCATTCTGCTGAGAGAACTCATCCGCAACACTCCAAGTGGGAGGTTGGTCGGGGTGGTGAGCTGTAAGTGACAGAAGGGGCAGCACACAGTGACTATGCTGTGTGACTTGCTCTTCTTTCTGTTCCATCCAAGGTGATGGAGATGTGTTGGAAATCCTGGTGAGGTGATTGTGGGATGGCTCCAAGTTGAGGAGTCCGAAGCAACTCTGGGGTTCTGGCACCCCCGAAATGGGGGTGATACTGGTTCCCGAGAGTAAGTGAAAATGACACTTGTTACCAATATGCTGGGATTTAGACTCCGTGCAATAGTGGGCCTGTGAGATCCTTTCTGCTACCAGGTGTGACAGGAGCAGATTGGATTCTCATGTAAGGTCACAGCGGCACAGTGACGGGCAGTTTGAACCTACGGGATCATTCTGCAGCTGTGGGGCACAAAATGCTCAGACAACAATAGCAACTTCCTTTAACAAGTAAACATAACTATAGCATCATCAATCAGTCAAAAACAACCCCTTGCTTTCTTGCAATCATCCCAATAGACACACTTGATAGTTTTTTGTTCATCTTTCCTTTCTGCGTCTTCTGCTCTTCACAACCGATTGATTCGATTCCAGACTGTTGGTGATGGGCGACCAGTTTCAACTCGATTCGCGACGTTTGGCCTCTATTAAAACTCACTTGCTCAAATGGAATCATTTATCAGTTAATTGTATTGGATCTTCCTAAGGTAGCCACCGTGTGAACATGCCGCCAAATGGTCACGTTTTGTGGTTTTCACAATCCTATCTGTAACATCCTGTGCGGCGGTATATATACTGCTTCGGCAACATCGAACGAATCGAATTGAACTCATTTAGAACACATTGGCTGTCACCTTGTAGCAAATCTTGGAATTATCTTCTGGCAGATTGATGACCAAGTCTCCGGTAAAGGTTCCAGCTTGACCCTTGGGGTCGCAGGTGATTGTCAATGGGGATGTTTCTCCTCCTCGTCGGTCCATGCGGCCAGTGGAAGGTGACACCGATAGCGATGGATGAGAATCCGCCGAGAAGGCAGCGAAAAAGTCTTCAAATGTCATGCAAACTGGTTTCACCTCAATATCCAAAGAGCCACCTTTTAAAATGAAAGAGAGGATTATGGAAAGCGTCGTGAGTGATGACATTGCCACGACGATGACAGGGTTTGGCAGTATGGAATTTTCCAATAATTGTTGAAAGGTAGCTACGGAAACACTCACCGGAAGAGCTTCCTGCGACTTGCATTGTGTATTCTCCGTCTGGAACCGATGATGGGACGAATTCCATGCCGGCAGGAATGTCGGAAGCTTGTTCAATCCCACCCATCATGACGGCATCTTCTCCAAGGTTTTCCATTCCGGGAAGGGCAGGACCATCACGGCCCCCTCCCCCACCTGCCTGAGAGCCCATCATACCGTCTTGGTAGCTCACATCGGATTCGTACCCTTCTGGGAAGTAATCTCCAGTGTCAGTGGACTGCATGCATGTACGGTAGCAGCAAAAAGTATGGAAGTGAAAAGACAGGAAAACATTAGAACAAGGAATTTGCACAAACATAAGCAAGAGGACTTCATCGAATGGCCAACCAGGCTGATCCCCACAACTTTATATTCACGTACCCCCATCTTTTCAGAGTCTGGCTTCCATGCGTTTCCAGACATGTCCATGCCACCTTCGCCTTGATTCCAGCTTGCGAGTTGAGTGCTGTGCCGGACGGTTGGCATGGGAGCAAAGCCCACGACACCGGAAACCAGCAGAAGAGCCGAAGTAGCAGCAACAAACTTCATCTCGATAAGCTTGGGAAGAAAGGTTGAGTGATTGTCAAACAAACGAGAAAGAATGCGAGTTACAGAGAACAATCGAATCTGCAACTCGTTGCAAGTGGCCTTCTCGATTGCCTTTATCACTGATGCAGGCTAAGATCCATGGGCTGACGTACCACCTAAAATTCAAATTCAAATGGCAGAGCTGCTTGTTGATCTACGGTCATTGAATAGAGCCCGAGTATAGCATGTTTGGCTGATGTAAACACAGGCCAACACCTCCGCATGCACACAGGGTTTGCACATAGACTAGCCAACCCCCGCTCCGCAACCCCTTCATACTAGTTATCCCTTTTGGGGGGGTACCAGGATCACCCTTCATCGATAGGTTTTCAGGATGATGGAAGTTGGCTGTTGAATTCCTTTTTCTCCTTTTTGCTTGGACAAGAAGTCTGTCATCAGGGCTTGAAGGAACGTCCTAGCCACAGTGGATACATGTATCCTTAGCTAGGAAACAAGAACTTTTTGTACGTTACATCCAAACTACTAGAAGGCCGGGTAGGGGGAACTGTGTTTCCAATAATTGCGTGAACCAAACTAACTCCGCAACCTGTGGACACGAGCTTGAGCTGGCATTCGACCTCCACCAGCATGCTTTGATGCGACTTTTTTGCAGAGCATGGATATCAACGTTTTGGTGTAGTTGGCACCATTGAGTGCTTACGCAAAAAGGAAGCAAATGATGTAAAAAGCATTGCTAGAACTGATGTTTTCTGGTTACTCATCAAGGCTTTGTAATTACATTTCAAACGTAATACCTACTACATGTAATTGTTATCTACCAGCCTAGCTAGTAGATTGAAACCAGTACACTGATACCCACAATCATCGAGACAAGCACCCGAAAGGATACCAGAACCCTCCCAGCCGAAGAAACGGCAGCTTCCGCCACAAAAACCGAATCATTGTGTTCCTCCACGTCGTCTTGTAAATCTAGTATTTCCTGCTCGGTATCAGTCGCGTTGTTGTCTCCAACTTCTTCGGCGGATTCGGTCGAGTTGCTGGTTGGCGTCGTGGCATTTTTAGAAACATCAAACTGATTATTTGTTTCTATTCCTACCACTTGCGATTCCAAAAAGAGGCGTCCATCCTGTGGCACTGCCGACCACCCTTGATTGCCTTGGTCGCATTGACTCAAGACGAATGGATTGGTCTGCAAATTTTCCGGCGTGACTTCGGGCAGAGTGGTGACGGCTCCATCGGAAGGACTGTTGCAATAGCGATGGGGCGACAAAAAGGCCAAGAAGGATCCGTCGGCATCATCGCGAATGTGCTGTGGGATATTCCTGGAATACCCCGTGTCGGTAAAGTAAATGAGGGCAATGGCATCTCCCACCTGCAGATTGACTGCGTCCGGGGTAATGACGGCTTGGCCTTGATTAAGTGTTGCTTCGGAGGCAAAGAAATTGTCCCAATCCTGCTTGTAGATTTCCAAAATTGTGTATTGCTCAAAGCCCGTAGTATCCACCGATTGTTCTGATCCTTGCGACGTTATCTGATAGGTGCGAACGCCACACGGAATGGTAGCCGTAGATGATGGGTCGTATTGGAGTCGCAGCACAAAGTCGGATTCCGAGAACCTTTCTCGTGGGTCGGACGATGTCGCAGCGCATCGAGCATGACAATCTGCCACCAACGACGCCAGTAAAAGCACCAAGAGTGCTGTCCAAGATCGGTAAGGTATCATTTTCCTGCAGCAAATCATTACTTTACAAGAATAATGAAGATCCAACGCCGAGATACTTGTTTTGGTACATGCAGTGGTTAGTCCTGCATTGCTGCATTGTATCCAGTGATGTAGCTTAGCCAGAGAAAAAACTGTTCCACATAGAAAAAATGAGGCTGAAAAATGAGAAGTGCGATTGAAGCTCTAACTCCTTTCGGTCGCGGCTGCAAAAACGCACGTCGAACGGTGCGACCACATGATATTGCATTCCCACTATGAATATCATCTTTATTGGAGATATTGGTCACTCTACAGGCGAAGACACACTACATGAACACTAGCTTACCAGTAGGCACAAAATGAAGCCTTGGAAGGAGCCAGAGGTTCAAAGAGTAGAAGGGGTGCGCAGGGTACAGTGTACTACCAAGGTACGGTACCGTAGCGTAACCTACCGAAACCTGTACCGTTGGAGAGAAACTCCTCATGATGCATACCATACGAAGCCATAGTCATACCCCTCACACACTCCTTTCTCTCCTTCACCAGCAAGGACAGCGATATCTTTGCCTTTATCAAGCAACCCGCGGTCCAGCGACTTTTGTGTCATTGTGATATGCTACTTTGTCGTCACTGCACGAATGTCGCTTCAGCGGGTCAACAAAGGTCGTGCGTGTCCTCTGGTTTGGCCGTGCGTCAATGTATGTCTGTAGGAAGCACGATCCCCTTTTTATTTCCCCATTTTGTTGTTGGTTGTTCCCACAAAACTCTCAAGCTCCCGCGCAGATTGGCTCCTCATGCTGTATGTTTCCCACCGGTAGTGGCACTCCGTCGTGCAGATAACTCTCCTCATCAAAATTAAGCCATCTCCCCAGGCAGTCCTTTGGGTGAATGCTTCGCATTATCTTTTCCAATACCCGAAACCAAAGCATGGCATCCCTCCCATTTCCAATTTGGGTCTGTCCTTGATGATTGTCATTGACATTGTCGCTTCCATGCCGGTTATAGAGATGGGCCGTGCCCGGATGGAATTCTCCAAACACGACATCCAAATGCCGACAAAAGATCCCACTGGCGAATAGATTGGGCAACACCACAAACTCGTTGCCTTCAATATCGAGTTTCATGACGACGCTGCCTCGTTCGATGGTGGATTGGGGGTATGCTTGACCACAAATCCGAGTCGGCACCCGTCGTTCGACGATGTGATGTTGAATCCATTCGGTCAAATGAATCACGGGTACCACTTCGGGAATTTCTTCCGCTTTTTCTTGTACCATACTGAATGCCCATTCTTCCTTGTCGTGATCGTTGGTTTTGTGATAAAACGTCATGTTGTTGCCTTGATCATCACTGACGCCCGCTTCAATCACATGATACCTCCATCCCCTGTCTTGATATGCCTGCTGCAATTGTTGGTGGCGCGATCGATGGCGGGGATTGGGTTCGAACGCAAAGGCGCAAATATCACGATTGTCGCGCTGCCGTCCAAACACGTGATCAAAGACTTTGTGGGCTTGCAAGGCGGTTGGGTAGTGTTGCGGCTCGAACAAAAAACGACTGTGGATACCAATGTTGGCACCGACATCAAGAAAGACGAGCAGACAGTCATCTCCCAGTCGGGGTGTTCGAGCTGTTGTTGCTGTTGTTGCTGGATATTGATATGTGGGGAGGTGTCCTTGCCGCAGGGATTGTCGTAGAATGTCCAAAGGAACCAAAAGACAAGCGAGTACAAACAGGGGAACTTTCAGACCTCTTTGCCTGTTTGCAGCACCAGTCTCTTTCGAAGAAGCAGGATAACGAAGATGTTGTTTGGGCATGATTAGTGTTGCTACTAGCTACCAGGTAGCTACAACTAATGGTGCTCGATGCTCGACTCAGACAGGTTGGCATCATGCATCATGCATCATCGGAAAGGCTGGGAAAGCAAAGCCGAGGCGAAGGGAGAAAAGCTTCTGACGTCATCTGCTCTCATGAAGCTTTCCTTAACCCTATTACATCTTTAACCTTACTGCAATATCTTCCCTCTCAAAATTGGCGCAGGTATTGGCGCCTGCCGTTCCCGCTATTGGAGGGAAAAAAGGTTGGCTTTCGCAGCATTGCCTTCTGTCAGAAACGAGACCCTCACAAGTGGTCCTTGGATCCATCATAAATCAACCAAAGACGACCAAGATAACACTTCATCCGCTACACTACCCTACACCACCTTACAACAACAACACTATGTTTGAAGCACGCTTGGCCAACGGCAAGACCCTCAAGGACATTATCGAGTCTATCAAGGATCTGGTGAATGATGCGAATCTGGATTGTTCGGAAGAAGGCATTTCCATTCAATGCATGGACAGTTCGCACGTGTCTCTGGTATCCATTAGTCTGGCAGCCAATGCGTTTGATCACTACCGATGCGATCGTCCTCTCTCCTTGGGACTCAACAGTGCGAATATGGCCAAGATTTTCAAAATGATGGGCAAGGACGACTCGGTTGTCTTGAAAGCAGAAGATGAACCGGATAACCTCACCATGATGTTTGAAAATGACAAGACTGATACCATTGCCGATTTTGGTGAGTACCCAATGACACAATGACATTGATCATTATCCATGAGTGACACTGTACTGTATCTAACTCCTTCTCTTGTTATCTTATTATTATCTTATCTATTATAGAACTCAAACTCATGGACATTGACAATGAACAGCTGGGAATTCCGGATACTCCCTACAAATGCACCATTCAAATGCCCGCTGGCGAATTCCAGAGAATCATTCGCGACCTTCAAGTGCTGGGAGATGCCTGTACCATTTCCTGTACCAAGGAGGGAATCCGATTCACGGTCTCGGGTAGCATTGGGACGGGAAATATCCTCATTCGCGCCCACGACGCCGAAAAGGAGGAAAACTCCGTCAAGATTGAAATGGAGGAACCCGTCGAACTGTCGTTTGCCCTTCGGTATCTCAACTTTTTCACCAAGGCGACTCCCTTGAGTGCACAGGTCGTTCTCTGTATGAGCCCCGAAGTACCTATTGTTGTCGATTATCCCATTGAAGATACCGGTTTTGTCAAGTTCTATTTGGCTCCCAAGATTGATGAAGGTGATGAAGAGGAGTAAAAATGAAACAACAATAACAACACAAAACAATTCACAACCTATGGCTAGCGCCGGATATATGTTGATGGGGATCACTATTAAATAATATAAGTAAAACAGCAAAACGTAACGAGAATATTCTATTCCACACACTCAACTTCTAGCTAGCTAGATGTATCATACTATGCATAGCTCAAGCTTTCTTTTCGTTGTGTTTTCCGTTGAGTTGAGACAACGATAGGCAGTGTTGTTCATCCTGAACACCACTCTCAGGGTTTTAGATAGTTGGCCAACCAAGCCAAGACAGCCTTTGTATCTATCTAGCTAGCTAGTAGAGTGGTTGGAGCCAAAAGACTTTCACTCGACCCAGGCCGGGAGAAGCCAAGAGACATCCCGAGGGTGGAACCAGGCAACCGAACCGAAAAGAGGCCTACCAAATCAAACGGTGGACGACGATAATCATACGACGTGCCTGCTACCGTACGCGGCCAAGCTCCTGAAAGCGGTCAGCAGGCAAAACTTGCTGCCGAGAGCTTACAGCGCCCCTGCTACCTTCTTGTACCACAGCCACGGTACAGGTAGCAGATATCGGCAGAGTCGAATCGAATCTGCACTGACTGTATTCTCAGTTCTCAGTTCTCAGCTCTCACCCCGCCAATCTGCGTTTGGCCCTTGGCTACCTTTGCAGCGATTAAATGTGAGCCGCTCGAGGCAAAAATCCGAGGTGGGAAGCTGCAGCTTTCTAGCAAGCAAACTGAGCCTGTGAAAGCAAAAGGTGTGCAACGAAGAAAAGGGTCCCATTTATTGAACTGTCTACAAATGCCCGCATCATCTCCTATGCTTGGGTCTGGCTTGCTAGCTAGTCTAGGTAGGTAATTTTCTCCGTCGTCCAGGAGCAAATCAGGGCTATCTCCCATCATGTTTCTGACATGAGTACGGCTGGCAATATGTTATATAGCTCTGATGGCTTCATATTCAGTAACTCCTCCACCCAACAGCTCGGGGCAGCTCACGCGGCGTTGTCGCTTGTATTCTCCAAGGACTCTTCATTGGATGGCTCTACCTAGCTAGCTAGTAGAGGAGATGGTAAGCCACTAAGCAACTTGATGACCCTCCCAGAGGAAACAATGAACGCCATCAGCGAGGACCTACATTCACCACAATTTTGCCAAAACAAGTTGCTATCTGGAACTGTGCCCCAGTCAGAGCTATCGCATCAATCTCGCTCTTTTATACTCAGACTTGAGGGAATCCACTCTTGTCAGCAACTATTCCAGAGGGCGTTTTCATCCTCGATGGTACCTTGTGTTGACAGAAGCGAATTGCCATGCGAAGAAAGTGGAATGGTACTACTGCACCAGCATGCTATGTGGCTGCAAATGCCAATGCTGGGACGAAGCAACTATGGGGTTCACTGTCCCATCCGGTAAAGGCAAACACCAAGACGCGCAAGGTAATCAATGCATTCTTGTCGCGAAATCAATTATCTACATTGGCATTCCTTTTTTCCAGTTGTAGCTATCCATAATGGTAGGAGGCAGGACTGTACAAGGCTCGTACTCTGTTCACATCTTGCAGATGCCCCTCATCAGAACCCAGTCACTGCGAAGTTTAGCAAGTGTTACGCCACATTGTATCTTTTAGTCGCTCCCTCATGGCTCACCTCCCACTCACAACATTTTTCCTGCAGTTATGACATACGTCCTCCTCCAAGGTGAGGTGTGGTGTGATGCCTTGGGGTGGTTTTGGCAGGATGTTCCTGTACTGAGATCTAGCTAGGATATAAACAGGTGTACTGTTTCGTTGCATACTTCGTTTTAGTTGTTACTACTTTCGGTATTCATTCGACCGCTGTACATGGGACAAGTATCACTACTATCAAACGAAGAGAGAGAGAAGGAAGGTATTCAAAGCTGTACAAATGTTCTTCTCTCATGGCTGACATGGATCCATACAATGACTACAAGTCATTCAAGTCCATGAGGCTTTCCTGTCGAGCTGGAATGACAGGGGCCGATGAGGCGGAGCTCACCTGTCTGGCAAACTCTGGGGGTGGTGGTATGATGCTACCACGTCGAAGCGGCACGGAAGGCATGGATTTTTGGAGGTTGTGTTGAACAAACCTTCGCACCTGAGTTCTTGGACTTGGGTGGAAATGACCGCAGCCCGAGTTGGCCGCCGTGGAAAGAGCATCATCAAAGTCCATGAGACTCTCCTTGCGAGCAGGAAGAGGTGGAGGCATGCTGTCAGTGGAATGCTCGGAGTTATCGAGCCCTTCCGTGATGGACGTGTGGCGGATGTCATCGTGAGGACACTGGCAGGGAGACACATCCCAGGAGGAGAGAATGTTGAAGTCCATGAGAGATCCTTTGCGATTAGGTCTTGAAGGAGGCTGCGCCTTGCCGCTGAGTGGATTCGTGCTGCGGAGAGGAGGGTGCGCACAGAACTGAGATCCAGTCTTCCAGCGAAAGTTGGAGTTGGCGGAGGATGAGCCTGAGGAAGACAAGGAAGAGCCACTGTTGTTGAAAGCTTGGTTCAAAGCTGCTGTGGCGGCCTTGCCTTGCTGGGGACTGCTGCGCAAGCCACCCAAATGGAAGAGAGGAGTGGGATTGCTGAATTTGCGTGTGGGTGCGCTGGCGGGTGCGTCCACAACCAACTTGTAGAGACGAGGATCACTGCATTTGCGGCAGGGAAGATTGGCTGCAATGTCGCTTTGTCGATTGGGAGCATGGTGCATGTGGACCAGACCAGGGTTGCTGGGTTTGCGGAAAGGTACGGACGTCATTCCGGCGCTGCTGATGGCCTCCATAGTATTGGTCCATCGCGACTTGTTGGTTCCTTTGAAGTTAAACTTGACATTCGACTTTCTGCGACGATGCACCTGCATACCAGCAGTTAATCTATCTTGGGAAGGCTTTCTCCTTGGAGGAGGGTCCATGGAACTGAAGGAGGAACAGGAATCACAAGAGGAGCCCATTGACAAGACAGACACATCCAAAGAGCAATTGGAGGAGGAGACAGGAAGTACAATCTCGGGGAACTTCATGGTCTGAGACATGATACTATAGCTTTGTGTACTCCAGTGTGTGTTTTGGGGATGGAGGTGTGGAAATTTATGAGACAAGCGATAGCTCCAATAGTTCAGCTGGACAAACGAGCAGTTGGCAACCGGGAGCAAACTCCAGTAACTTTGCTCACAGTACCGTCTCGACACCAGAGCTAGCCAGGTTGTACAGCCTGGTAGCACAGCTCCGTGCAGATCCAGGAATCGGATCGATCACACAGCAGGCAGTCCTGTCCATCGAAGTTGTACAGGTCCAGTCGTTCAGGCCCAGAATTCACCCAAATAATGCAGCTCCCAAGCTCGATCCGAAAGGAACTGACGAACCTCAGTTGCCGAGTGCCGCGAAGGCACTATTTCACTTGGCTCTTCACTTATTACTGAATAGCTCCGAGTATTAGCTAGGACTTAAAGTCACTGGCTCTTTTTGTGTCAGTGACTATAGCTGAACTGACTATTAAATCGCCTTCTGATTCGAAGCCTTGTATTTTAAATCTCTATTTTTAGCTCCAAAGGGAGAGTGTCATCGGATTTATAAATTCCAGAAAGTGAACTGCCTGCTTTACTGTAGAAAGTTCGTCAAAGAATGGTACAGAAAACAAAGAATGGTCGTGAATCTAAGCCTCAGGGATTCTTTCGGGGCGATTGGCTTCCGATTGCGGTACCGTCAGGCCATAGTTGACTACTGTTGAGTCACTCTATGAACCCTGATATTCCCAGATTGGAACAGGTAGAAGCGCAAGGGGACATCAGGCTACTAGTACTGACACTGCACAACCGGTACTCGCTTTGAGAAACCAGCAAAATGGCTGAGAACTAGGATCTGCATGCACTGTGCTCAACACAGGAGCACTGCAGCACTGCTAAAAGCTGCTAACCGGCACTTTGCAGCAGGCGGCATCAGCATCGCGCAATCAGTTGGATGGTGCACAGTGCACAATGCACAGATAGATAGATGGTGGTGATGATGAATGGTCCCAGGATCAGAATGTGCGTCACCGTTCCTTTAGGCTTCGGGAATTGCTATGCCGGTGGCAAGCTAATAGCTGACTGCTGACTGGCAAGAGCCTTGGAGACCAAGGAAGACCAAACAGATCCCCGGCCTGTCCAAGATCATTCAATCGCCTTCTTTGTCTGAGGTGGGTACCACGCTGTCGTGGATTTTGGCTAGTAGTTTTGGATTGTTGGCTCGACCCGGGATAGTGGCCGGTCGCATCACCCACCCTCTATCTAATCCAGGTCGTTGGATGTCGATGCTGCATCTGATACTGTTTGTTACTTTGCACGACATCCATAAACAGAGCAGGTTGTGCACAGGTAGCTAGATCTACTACTACTAAATTTTTTTTGCAGCATGTTACTGAGCAAGCAATTCAACAACATCTTTGCATGCAGTATTATAGCAGTCCTTGTCCACAACGGGGAGCCAAACGCGTTGAATACCAGTTGCTTCAGGGGCACGGGATTGGATAGTACTAGTAGCATGTATGTTTAAATGTGCTTTCCTCGATTGGTTGTCGGATTCCCGATTAGGAACGTTTACAGGTGTCGCAGGCACGCAGTGGCTGGTTCTCGCTCCATGCGACTGACTATGCTGTGTTTTCAGATCCCTGCTCACAGTTAGTTAAGAGAAAGATATCTATACCTTGATCAATATGGCGGTAGTTGCCGCTTTGTGGTTGCCGTCTTGTGCCGGTCCCACTGGCTGCTCGCGAGGCCCTTGTCTGCCTCTTTTGGCGTCCAAATTTTAATGAGAGCTATGCATTCCAGGTTGGATTGCTCACCAGCAAATCAGTAGGATGACTCAAAAAGTATGGCTTGCTTGATTATTGCTTTTTCTCGTCGGAAGGCACATCAGCTCCCCATCTGCAACGACCCCAGTGAGCGGCGTGGAGGCGTGGCGTGGAAGAAGCGGTCCATGGAGCAAATGGTAGTCCTGACGGTCTGATGATGTGACCTACTAGACTACATGTATTATACTGCTTTTACTGTGCACGTTCAAGGAAGTGGTCAAGTTCATGCTACAGTATACGCATTGTAACTAGCGCTTCAACCGCGCGGTAGCTATTGGATGCTGGCAGGTGCGGTCCTGCAGATAGCTGTGGTCGTACAAAACACCCAATCGATGATCTGTTCTCTATCTCTTTTGATGAAACTACTGTACTCAATGCAAAACTGTACAGACGATGGGTGCTGAAGCAAAGGCTGAACTGGCTGGCTGGAGCATCTTGTCGGGTGTGATACCCATTTGGGCATTCGTTTGCTGCATCCACCAAAGAACCAGCAATCCCCTCTCCTCGGTAAATGTCATTCCAGCACAGCTAGCTTTTAAATTTCGCAGAAGCAAATTCTGATGCCGAGGATGACTAGCATGATCTGGTACCGGTACCGGACATGCTACCGGTACTGTACCGCATCCAGCCGCAGTACCCGTATCCAACGCGCAATCGCCAGAAACCTGAAAAATCAAAGCAAGTGTTCTGGATTCGATTCTGGATACCCCTCTGGCTGGCTAGCTAGATACTAGTAGTAGCACCTCCAAATCGAGCGATAGACAGTATCACTACCAGTAACCATGACGGACTCAAGAAGGCGCTCGTTTGTGCCTCCGACTTCCGCGGGGCTCCCTCCTATTCGACCTGCTCCGGAGCTATTGCGATCTTGGTCGCAGCGAACCGAGAAACTGTGCCAGGTAAAGCCCAGTTTGATCAGCCGCCACTTGTCGACCGAAGTGGCTGATCGGCATCCGGGTGATTGGCAGAATGTGTACCTGCAAAAACTCAAAGAGTTATATCAACAACAGATTGGCTGTGATGTGGCCTTTCAGGTGGGTGGGGATGAAGCAATCGTCAAGGCCCATCGGATTCTACTCGAGATTCATCGTGTCACTATTGTGGAGCCAAACAACAACAGCGACGATAGCCAACAGCAGCAGCAATGGATAAAAGTACAAGATGACTTTTTCAAGCATCACCCGAACGAGTTGCGTGCCGTGGTGGCGGCCTGCTATGGATTCTTGTTGGATCCTCGCATGAGCGATGCGATTGTGCAGGGAGGGAGGGACGATTGTCTCCAAGGCATCCCACAGAGCCCTCGCTTGCTACTCAAAGGGATTGCACAGTATCTGTGTGGCAGTCCGTCTGATTGGCACGAATCTCCGCAAGCGACAACACGAGAACGGGTCAAGATTATGGCCAGCCCGGGAGCAAGTCCCGACACGGAACTGGAATGGAGTATTCGAGGCCACGCGGCGTTGCTCTGTGCCCAGTCGGATCTTTTTTGTCAAGTACTCATGTCGGATAGTCCCGAAGAGGCACCCCCCACTGATGCCGATCAAGAACAGGGGTACAGTCTCCCCTTTTATATTGTCCGTGTCGATTCCTCCAAATTCACCAAGGATTTGATGCAAGAACTGGTCGCCAGCTGCTATGCCGCATCCACCACCATGACGGCCAATAGCGAATTATCGGTCGAATCCATTTTATATTTGATCGAAGGCGCCGCTCATTTTGGAATCAAGGCGGCATCGTTGCAGTGTGAGGGGGCACTCGCCAAGCGCATTGATCCGTCCAATTTGGCAGACATGTTTCAGTTTGCCCGAGCCCATGATGCACAGCGGTTGCGCCTCGATTGTCACAAGTATTTATGTCGCAACCTATTGTCCATTGCGAAAGCGGGAGACGATATTGTGTCCAAACAAGATCGGGAGCAACTCCACGACATGCTTCAATCGGATCATGTGGATGCATCCGAACAGGAAATTCTAGACATGATGTGGCGGTGGTGGCACCTCAACACAACATCCATATCCGAGGAAGATGCCAAGGAACTCTTTGCACTGGTACGACTCGCGTTTGTACCGTCGGATTCCGAAATCGTCCAACAGTTGGTGGAGAAAAATTTGGTAGACGAAGAGACTTTGCGGCTGTGTCGGCAATTCCAAACCGACGAGGTATTTCGAGAAAAAAAGATTCATACCGAACCCATGTACACGCCTCGTCAAATCGAAGCCGACGAGTGGAAGTCGTCGTCCACGCACTCGCAAAACAGCTCATGGGCGCCACCGAATTTTGACATGACTGCCATGAACGCCAATCTTCCCTCATAAGCAATGAATCAAGCACAATCCACATTCTCACCGTCGCTTGCGATTGTGGCAGACATTCATTGTGAAGTGTGCCGCCTGCTGGGCAGAAGCATAATAATACAGAGATCTATGTCATCTATATCTCTGTGCGATTGATTGGTAATGGAATGATCTGCTGCAGCCCGGGTCCAAAATGAGAAACCAAGAGGCTCGGACGACAACCACCCCTATCAAACCGGCGCTCTACCGCTTTGCGGCGAGAACTCGTGCTGGATGAATCACACTTCCATTCTTGGAAACGCTCGAAATCGACCAAGTACACGAAATTCTGGCTGAGGATGCCGAGGCTGGATGGCTCGACTCGGCTCTCTGCGGCTACCTAGCTAGAACCAAGTACCGATAGCCACCAATGCCATGCTTTCAGGCCGTGTTGCTACTGCGTCGCATCCAGCTAAGCATTCAGGTATGCTCTACTAGCCAGGAGTTCTGGTGGGGTAATGTTAGCTGAAGAGAAACCCAAATCCACATGTACTACTCTTCTACTTAGTAGCCATAGTTTACTCCTACTAGTAGACCGGTAGCAAGCTACTGGATCCTAATAACGCACCTGACCAGGACGACTAAGGCCCGGTGTCAGCATCAGACCAGCCAGAGGGCTGTCATTTATTCATGTAGCAAACTGCTCGTTGAGTATGTACTTCTCCTCAATTCTAATCGCTGGCTAGCATGTACCGCAGGAGTTTATTACCGTAGGTGCAACTCGTTTGCCCACAACCAACGTGTGTCGGACCACAGCCTTGAACGGCCGCTTCCATGACATTGCACTCTTTTTTGCCTTGTATTCTGCATCCCAGACAGCAGGTTTCGGACCAGCTATCTCTTTGGAATCTCCAAGCTACTGTACCGTACGGTTTGCGTGGAGTGTCAAAGAGCAGGAGGCAATGCAGGGGGCTGCACCTCTTTGGCCCGTACCTTTACCAAAGAAACTAAGAGAAAATGCTTTCATGCCTGACCTGGACACTGGGCATCTCGTTGCGCCGAACGATTTGACCTGGCTGAGTGACGGTCAATTGCTTGTGAAAGGATCGTCAAACCTCGCAACCGTCCAATGAAGCTTACGCCTGATTTGAAGTGAAATACCTCAGCTATGCTTCCTAGCTGGGTTGCGATGATCATTCTTTGACTCATTGCTTGCTTCACCGTGCTGCTGCGTCAGTTGCTCCAGCCAGACGAAGGAAATCTGGTCAGATTCCTGCTCTTTCTCCAGTCTCCCTCCCCTGAAACTTTCGGTAGGCTACACCCAGCTACTCCAGGTTGCAAATATCGTGCCTGGCCCAACTAGTCTACTGGACTTGCTCTCGTCCTTTTGATTCTCTGTACCACTAACGGCGCTGACGCTACCTAGCTAGCTAGCTGTCTACCATGCACCACGCAGATCCACCACCATTATTGTGCCGTAAGAGATATAAATGACTCACAGCGGACTGAGTCACTCATACGGTACATTGCATACCTACCGACCTGTGACCGCTCCACTGTCAGCCAGCCGTACGTGGCTGCCGTCTGATGTAACTGTTGTAACAGTCATCGATACGAGTCAGAATGCTTTTCCAGCGAAGAGAGGAAATCCATCCCTCATGTTCGCACAAAATCAACCAACCAAGAAAGAAAAACATCTTCAAAGAAACCAAACAACAACCATCAAAATGAAGTTTGCTGCTGCCATCACCCTCGTTGCTGCCTCTGCTAGTGCTTTCAGCCCTTTCGGTGGAGCCAAGAAGGCTGCCGCAGTTGCCACCCCTGCAAGTTTCGTCATCCAATAAAGAGTTGGAAGAATTTTTGGGGAAAACAAACTGACTTTGTTCATTTCACATCATCATCACAGGCTTTCACTGTTGAAACTATCCCTGGAGCTTTGGAGCCTATGGGGATCTGGGATCCTCTTGGATTCGCTGCCAAGGCTGACGAGAAGACCCTGAAGCGATACCGTGAGGCTGAGCTCACCCATGGACGTGTTGCCATGCTTGCCACTATTGGTTTCTTGGCTGGAGAAGCTGTTGAGGGATCCTCTTTCTTGTGGGATGCCAGTGTCACTGGTCCTGCCATCACCCACCTTACCCAGGTCCCCCCTCTTTTCTGGGCTCTTTTGGCAACTGGAATTGGTGCTGCTGAACAAAAGCGTGCTGAAATTGGCTGGGTTGAACCTTCCAATGTCCCTGTTGACCAACCAGGCCTCTTGCGTGCTGAATACACCCCTGGTGACATTGGATTTGATCCCCTTGGCTTGAAGCCCGAGGATCCTGAGGAGCTTTTGGTCCTCCAAAACAAGGAACTCCAAAATGGCCGCCTAGCTATGCTTGCCGCTGCTGGATTCATGGCTCAAGAATTGGCTGATGGAAAGGGAATCATGGAGCACTTGATGAACTGAATTGGTGTAACAATACACTTTTCTGGTGGTTGAGCTTTTGATTAAGTGGTGCCTTTTTGCAAAGTTTGTACATAGTAATGGGTGGCATCACTGGCATGGAAGAGTGCTGAGGGCAACCAAAGCTCAAAAGCGAATTGAAAATAGTCTCTCTACCTTTGCATATACATAAATAGTAATTTGAAAGATTACAAGCCTATTGCATCTGATTAGCCCTCTTTGGTTGGTTGTGCACGGGGAGGTTTCATTTGACCTCCACTGGTAATGAGGAATCTCGCTCTTCGAGTGATCAATCGAAGCAATTTGACCCAAGCCCTCGACCCCTCGAATGCTGTACATGTGTGCATATTCGGTACCCTGGAGATACCGGTACTCCAAGCATTAAAAAATCGTTCATGTATACAGTACCGGTACCACTGGTGAAAAGGGCACTGGTACGTACCGGTAAATTAATATTCGTACTCGAGTGCAGTGTACGGAAAGGGCTGTTGCTTTCTCCAGTGCCTTCTCAGGCCATGTTCTTGGATCTCCTTCAACTCAGTGAAAGGTGTAGAGGCAAAGGGGCATTAATCCTCCAATAAATGAGGCCTAACGCTTGCCCCAGTTTCTGACAAAGAACTCTCTCTGCTTAAGTGTATTTATCAATCATGAGCGACTGGACATAAAAATTCCTTCTGCTGACATAAAAAGAGATAGATGGTGAAAAGACATTAATGACTTTAGAAAGGAAAGCGTCGTCGACTATTAGACATTGCTTTCCAAATCTGTAAAAAAACAAGTTCCATTCAATTCACCATCAGACTTCCCTGGATGCTGGCAGGTACCGTTACATGTACCGACATGCTGGATGAAATGCTGGATGACAGCATCAACAAGAAGCAAACCAAAGCAGAGCGCAAAAGGGTTTGCTTTGAGCATCGAAACTCCTGAGCTTTCTCTGTGCTTGTCGTCGTCCTACTCTACCCAGCACGAACCACAGCTTTCAACCCAGTGAGAAGCCATAACCACAAACAGTGGCCAGCCCGAAGCATAAGGGTTGAGTGATAGTCCGAGGGACTCTCAAGCGATCTTTACAGCAGCTCTTTCATCATGGACGATACCTCCAAAACCAACCTCTTGGAGCTCATTAGCGACCGAGAAGGGCAAGCGGAACTGTTGGCCAATAGCGGGCATAGCAAGACCACTAGTAGCAGTAGTAGCAAGAAGAAACCGAGCAAGATGGTTGGAAAAGAGATTGATGTCGATGAAGAAATGGCCAAGGTCAAGGAGTTGGCCAAGATGGGCTATCCTCCGCAGCAAGCCGCGAAGAGCGCGTATCCCCAGCAAGATTCGAAACAGCCAGCGCCCAAGAAACAACCTCCTCCTTCCAAGCCTCGTGCGACTCCTCGAGGACGAAGCATTACTAGCAAGGCAGCCATCTCACTTCCGCCACGACAACGCTCGCAACGAGGAGGAGTGGTCGATGTGGACGCCATTCCTCGCAGCAAATCTCCCGCAGCTCCTTCAGCCCGTTTTCGAGGCAAAAAGCCCCTTCAGCGCGCCACTTCCGCCCCGACAGCGGCGGCTGCCTACCGCGGCAATCATACAGCATTGCACCGCACTCCGACATCCTCCAAGAATGGCAATAGTGTCGCTCTCTCGGACGAGAGTGAATTGGATTTGCTGGGCATTGTGGCACAACGATGTGCCCACAATAATGAAGTGGACTGCGACGAATGCCATTCAGCCCACCAAGATTTGGAACAAGGTCGTGCCAATAAGATGCAAAAGACCAACTCCATGCCGTCGTACCACTATACTTCCCAGCAAGGCAAACAGGTGGAGCGGCCCACCATTACAACCACTGCCCAACACAGTTCCAGATCCGTAGCTTCCGTGGCTGCCAAGCATGCCCGCAAAGCGGCTCGATCCTCCAACAATAGTGCCCTCTCTTCCAACAATAGTGCCGTCAGCCGTGACCATTCTCGCCGCACCATGACCTCTTCCGATAGCGACAGTACCAGCGCGAGCACGTCCTGTAAGGATGCATGTTGCAACGAGTTGGATCTGGGCAGCGAAGTCGAGCTCATGCAATTGGTCGCGCAGCGTATCGTTGATTTAGAAGCGAGCGATTTGGATATGGAATCGACCACCAGTGACGCGGATGTCTCGGGCTTTCTCTACGATGTCGAAGTCGGTCCTTCCATGAGGACCACCAAAACAAAGCCGTCGAGAGCCATGACGGACGCTTCGGCCGTCTCCATGGACACGTCCGACCTCAAAGCTGTTCGGTCCCAGAGCCCAACTCCTGGCAAGGGACAACCACGCACTCCCAATAACCTCACGGCCGGTGCGTATTCCGCCGCTCCCGGACAAGGCTATGTCCGCAACGACGCCTTTGCCACCACATCCTTGTGTCAACCCATGGCGGTCGCGGCCATGGCCACGATGCAACAGGATGCGGCGGTAGAACAACATCCCATGAATGGCAGCATGATGGACGGATCAACCAAATCCAACAAGTCGACCGGTGCCGCGGCCAGTGCGGGTGATATCATTTCGGCCGTTCGGGTCGACGAAGACGATTTGGAATTGCACATTCGAGAACAAATCCACAGCACCGCCGCACAAGCACAAGTCGTCGATATGGACAAGGAAACGGGAGAGAGAATGAAATCCGAGTTGCAAAAAGTACAAAAACAATATGCGGGCTTTGGTATTTTGTGTGTCATGTTCTTGGCTGTGGCCGTCGCGGCGGTGGTGGTCTCGGTGACGCAGCGACAACAAAATACTGATGCGGTAGCAACATCGATTGACGACGGTCCCGTGTTCTTGTCCACCCTGCAGTCCATTGCCGATCGAGGAACCTTGAATTGCGGGCTTGGATATCGGGGAGATGATGCCGACTTTCATCCTGAGTATCAACTCGCATGGGAAGGTTTCATTGGTGATATTGTAAGTGTAGGCAGCAGTGTTGTCAGCCAATGCGAGGAGCGAAACCTCACCTTCCTTCCACGCCTACATGTATGTCGTGCACTGTAGTGCAAAGCAATCGCTGCTGGTGTTTTGGGAGGCAATCCAGAGGTGAACTTCCAGCTGGTGAACGAGGAGGAACGATGGAAAAAGCTACAACGAGGTGAATTGGACGTTCTCATTGTTGGCTGCCCAGCAATTACCGAGTCTCTCTACTTTGATGTAAGTGTGAAGTGACCTTGTGGCTGATGGCACACGAGACGCCACATTCGGAGGGATTACTTGGCAGACTGATTCTAACTTCTTGGGCCATACCTTTTCCTTTGCCGTCACAGGTTGATACAGAAGTGAAGGCAGCCTTCTCCACGTCCTTTCTTTTTGATGGCGTGGGTGTTGGAGGTTTGCCAGAGTTTGTTGAAAACTGCGCCACCAACACAGGTGGCTTTCGAGCCTGTCGTGATATGAGGGTCTGTGTGACACAAGGTTCTCATGCCTTAGATGTGCTGGAACGGCGTCTGCATCCAAGTCAGATTGTCGCTGTGCCGACTCTGCAAGAAGTGTACGATCGCTTTGCTGGAGGTTGCTGCAACATGCTTTCGACTGACTTTATGAACGAACGAGCGGACGTTGTTGTCCGTGAATTCAGTGGTTACAAAGGCGAATATGCACTCGGAGCCGGTCTGTACTCGAAACAACCCTATTCAGGTGCCACCCGCAAGATGTTCGAGAAAGACCTTTTGGAGATTGCAGTCGGTCTAGTCGACGACATCGCAAGAGAGAATGATCCTCGAGTGTGGTCCGAGTATGTGAACTGGGTAATCAACTCGTTGTTTGCTGCCGAGCAAAATAATATCACCCAAGCCACAGCCAATTACATCACACAGACAGACGTTTTTGGAGAAAAGTACCGCGATGTCTTTCATCACGCAGTTGCCGCGGCAGGAAACTACGGCGAGATCTACGAACGCACCTTGGGTCCAATCATTCCTCGGGACGGCATGAATCTCGTCAATGATGGATCAACTGGTCTACACTACCATCACTCACTTGGAAGCGTGAATACCTTTGGAACGGTGAACCCCAACGGAACTCTGGACAATGTCCTCAAGAAGGGTAAGCTAGTATGCGGGATTCCAGCGTTTCAGAATACCAACTTCACACTGGGACCAGGGGAGATTGCCACCCTCCCTCCGTCGGGGCACCTGAGCAACAGCACGAACCACAACGCAACGTTCCATCACGAGGCAAACACGCTGGTAGGAGAAATGGACCGCGAGCTCAAAGCAGCAAGCATTGACATTGAATTCTGCCGGGCGCTCTCGTCGAGTCTGTTTCAGGGTTTGCATACAAGCAACAAAGGCACCGAGTCTTGCTCTGCTGCCTCGTCAACCAATGACGACGATTCTGACTCCGAGGATCTAACCTTGGAGTTTGTCCTCTTGACAGATGAGGCGGAAGGATACACCAAGCTCCAAAGTGGCGAATTGGACGTGATTGCTGGGTATCGCATTGACCTACAAGGTGATGTAAGAGAACCCACAACGGGTCAGGGGTACGCGTACACACAGCCGTACTTGTATGGCCCCGTGTCTGAGGTTCAACACGTTACATCGTAAGTCCCACGCGAGAATCAAGTCGACTTGGCTGACTGCCAGTATCTCACATCCTGCGTTTGCATTGTTGTGTCGCAGAAACAACCGATGCATGGTCACTCGCCAGAACGACAGGCAATGGTCAGACTTCGTGCATATGGTGGTGATGGCCATTTTTTATGCAGAAGAAAATCATATCGATCAAGATCATGCGAATCAAATGCCCGCTGTTAATAACTTTGGCCCTGCCATGAAGCGAATGTTCCGCGACGCTGTCTTCGCTGTAGGCAGCTACGCTGAGGTGTATGAGAGGTTGGTGGAGCCATTCATTCCTCGGGAAGGAGGACCAAATACCTTGAACTCGGAAGCAGATCCGCAGCTGGCTGCTCTGCCCGGTCTGATATAGAGGATGGTATCATGACTGGAATCTTCGAGCAAGTTGTTGTGGCCTTCAACTTGTGATCTTGTTGTTCAGCGCGGGTGTCTTGAATTCGTTGTTGTGGCATTCAACCTACATTTAGTCTTCATGCTCTTGGCAATAGTGAACAGGCTTTGCACCTTTGCCTTCTTGGGCTTTGGTGGTACCTGATAGCTCCTCACGCTCTGAGGGCATGGTTAGTAGTACAGTAGGGTATGTGAAAATAGCTGCTAGAGTGGCTATAAGATATGAAAGATCCTGATACTATGGTTAGGCTGCTCGTAAGATGATTTCTTGGAGAGGATGTTGCTGAATCCCTGCAGCACACTAGAAATGGCCCCACCAGTACAATGGACCGACCAGTACAATCTGTACAAGACACGTCTTTATCACTGAACAGCTCTGCTGTTTGCTTGAATAACACTTTGAAACTTTGTACTGGTCGGGGCTCTTTTCTAGCAAAAAAGCTAGCTGAGTGCAACTTTGTACTGGTCGGGCCATTCCTAGCACATGTCTCAGAAAAGAGTTATCTTATTGATGAGGTAGGGGGTGTACCTCTAAAAGTGTGGGACTGACTCGACTCGGTGTTTGCTCGAATAGCGAGTGCGTGGGAGTCAAATCTGGTTCTGCGTTCGGCACCTGAACTTGAACCTCTTTGGCTCTCTCTGGCACCTGGCTAGACCAACATGGGAAGGATACAAGGCGAACTCTCGAAGGGAGAGCATGGAAAGCAGATTGAATCATTCGATTCAGGGGGAGCTTTAGAGCCGAGTACAATTAGCGGGACCACCAGTAATAGCTTTACTCTGAGTAGAAAATATCTTTTGAGTGGCTTGGAACTACAAGAAAAGGGAACCCCTGATCAACCACCATTCTAATCCTTTCCTTTCAGAGCCGAGATTGCAAACTCTTACGACCTACCGGGATTAGCCTTGAATGATTCAATCATCCGTTCGGGACTCCCCCCCCCCTCAACGGTACCGTAACCTCAACGGTACCGTAACCTTCGGTACCGATAGTTTTCTACAAGTGGGTCATTGTAAGCCTTCTTTTCAGAGAGGAAAGAAGCATTGGAGGAGGTGCGTTTTTGATACGGGAATTTGGCCGAGGCTTAGTGGTTCCAGGGGTTCGCTGCCTGCAATGGCAATTCACCAAAGCTCGATAGCGACTACTCTACTCAAGTAGTAACCAGTATCTGCCTGTGCCTGTTGTGGCTTTGTGGCTATTGTCCGCTGCTGTGGCTGGCTCTAGTAGCGGGTGCATTCCCAATTAGGTTGTGAATAATGGTCGTATCGAGGAGATGTCACTCAGTAGCCACGGAGTGCCCTTTTTGGTTCCCACCGAAACTCCATCCCAAAACACTAGCAACATACATGTACAACATGCATCACAGAGCCAGCACATGCACTCCCCACACATACGGCTGTACAATGTCATGTACATGTACATCACAACGCGTGGTTAAATGTTGAAGGCACTTGCCTGCTCTGGTACGCTGCTGCTACCGTAGCTGGTAGTAGAGCTCTGGTGGTTGGGTGTTGTGATGTGACTAGTAGCTGGCCAAGGGGTAGGTGCAGTATCAATTAGGTTGTTTTAATGGCTACGAACTGAGGAGATGTCCTTTGGTAGCCGTGGAGTGCTCTTTTTGGCTAGCGGAAGCCCAAACACCATGGTAACATAAAAAATCGTACAGTTCCGGTTCTGGCAAGCAGCGCACCTCCACCCTCCAGGAGGATGGTTTTTAAAATAAATTCGTGGCCAAAATGCATGTATTTATTTGTTGCCTTTGCCAATTTCCCAACTATGACCCAACCGCCTGCCCTTAACTGGTGTGGAAGCAGGGTTCAGCAACTTTCTGATCAAGTTGATGAAACTTTAAAAGGCTTCTTAACCTCCTGGCTCCCGGCTCCAGCAGTCCAGCAGGTCTCTCAAGCTTTCAGAAGTAAGTGACTCAATTCCGAGAATGATGACTGGATAAGGTATTATGTATTATGTTCAAATTTTAAAATTGTATGTTATCAGATTCTTGCATTATCCCCCTGAAAATAGATAGAGATATAGAGATGCAGAAGCAAATCCAGAAGGCTTCTGCAATTCAGCAGGTGGGCTATTAATTGGCTTTTACAAGAGAATTAATGATTCACTTAAGAGTGTGACCGGGCAGAAGTGTTGGAGAATTGGGAGTTACAAAAGCTAGCTACTATGATAGGTACAAACCTCCTTTTTCCTTTTCCCTTTTCCACAAAAATGTTGGCCATCATAGCTGCCATTATCATCTTTTCCAATTCTTAGGGGTTTACCCAGCTGGTACCAGTAGTCGGGTGTTGACTGTTCGGTGCAGAACTAAGTCTTGGTGGTGCAACCGGTGTCTGAAAAGCATTTATTCTGAGATGAAATAAATGAATAGAACGCTCCAAAACGCCAAAACGTTCGCCTGCAGATTCAATCTACATTCTACATTATGCTTTATGCTTGATGTACTCCAGTACATGTACTGTATAGTACAGTACGGAACATCGTACGGTAGCTGCCTACGTCGTCTTTTCTTGCGTTGGGAAGCTTGTGAGACCACAATGTCATTGCTCACCGAAGGCTGCAGTGACCATTGAACATGTTCTTCACTTCTTCTTCCGTTCCCTTCGTGTGGCAATTGGCATTATTATCTTCAACTTTCTGACCTCACACACTCCGCCAGCTCTCCCGAATGAAGGACTGCAAGGTTGGGAACCAGACTGCAATCCTTTTTTGACAGTTTCTCAAATGAGAAAGTAGTTTCTCATTTGAGAAACTAAGTTCTGAAATGAGAAAGTTAGTTTCTCATTTGGTTGAAATGAGAAACTATCTTTTGAAATGAGAAACTATATATGAAATTCTTAGTAAATGTGTTGTGATT